ACGCTAATCAATGGGTTGGAGAGTGAATTAATGCTAATTGATGCTCAAAATTGAAAGAAGCAATAAACGAGAGAATAAAACAATTAACACTATCGGAGTCTCTATGTCATCGACACCAAATGAATTCAACGACGAACAATATGCAAGTTCTAAACACTAGGTCACTAACCCTAACCTTCTAACCTAAGTGATTAAGCTCCAAATAGAGTCCTAACTTTTAATCTAGATAGGCAAGTAATCAGTCCCTACTAATACAAGCAAGAGCAATGATCAAGTCCAAACATTCCGTCCATCATCAAGCAAACACCCAAATTCACCTTGATAATCATCATAAGTAAAAACGAGGCAAAAATCGAAGTAATGAGCTTTAAAAGTAAATACCCAATCTTCTATTGTGTGCTAGACGAAAATCGGAGTTAAAAGTTCGGAACTTGAACAAAATAAACGTCGCCGGAAAATGATGTCATAGAGCTCCCAAGAGAGAGAAGAGAGAAAACTAAAAAGAAAATAGCTATTCTCAAAGTGGGAAAGTGAAAAATGAAATCTAGATATCCAAAATACAAAGGGCCAAAACATATATATAGTCCAGCTCAAAACACACACTAGTTTCACGCACATTAAATGAAAGATACTCTCGAGCTGGCGGAAATTTCCGCGGGTCGCGGACACAGATGGCACGGGGTGCGGCACAAGGTCGGCGCGAGGCAAGCTTGGTGCGGCGCGAGGAAGAGCAATGCTCTCGAGCTGGCGGACGGGCTCGCGCACGGACGGGTCAGGAAGCCACTACTCTCGATGTCGCGCAGGTGCTCTCGAGCTTGCGGGCTTGTTGGAGGGCGCGGACTGGAAATGCAACAACACTCGCGAGCTGGCGGAAAACATCGCGCGGCGCGGGCGCGAGGCGCGGGTCGAGGCGCGCGGTCGCGAGTGGCCCTGGGCAGCAGCACCCTCGAGGTCATGAGGCTGGCTCGGTTTTGAAACTAGGATCGACACGGCTCGAAATTCTCGGAAACGACTCAGAATTCATTGAAAAGGTTTGTCTCTCGGGACTCAGTTCGACTTCTCTTATCATCCTCGGAATAATCCTGAAAATACACCGAAGAGCACGGAAAAATACGCCAAAAATAGAATAAAGAGAAAGACAACGAAAATACACTAAATACGATAAAATGGACCGGTCGACACTAAAATGAACTTAAAAAGACTAAACTAAAACACATGAAAATAAGCACAAAAACACAATAAACAGTAACTCCAGGTCGAGTTGGTTCTGTAAGTTCGGCACCTTAAACCCATGTGTGGACTACTCGATTGAGCACCTTTTCTCTTATTTTACGGGAGTTTTCCTATCTCGGCCATAGCCGAGCTACTATGTCAGACCGACGTACTGAGCTGTTTTCTTGGTGCTATATCAATATTAATGATTTCAAATTTGATATTTTGTATATACACAATTTTATAAATTTTATTATTGTAAATAAACATTAAATTATATGTTAGTTTTAATTAAAATAATAAATTTATCTAATAATAATAACTTAATTAAAAAAAATTATAAAAATAGTATTTTTAAGTAAATTAAGTACAAATTAATCTATTATAAAAAAATATATCACCAATATGTGCATGCCACATAAGTCGATGGACATATTAACAAGTGCTATCGTGGGCATATGAACATTTCCAATGTATTATAGTCCTACTAGTAAAAATATAGTAAAATATAAAATATTTGACTAACTACTATATAGCACGGAACTAATTTGGGTTTAATTTGCATGTCGGAATCAAAGGGACACCTGATAGACCAAACAATTAATCTCCTTAACATCCTCCACTTTCATAGGGAGTTGCAAACAAGTATGAAAGTACAATCTCAAATCACACTCGTTGAGATCTCAAATAAAGTTTATAAAGATTGTGAAAATTCAGCAAATTATATTATTGGCTAATGAATCATATCCATAAATCAAAGTACAAACGCCATTCCAACTTTTCTTCTGAAAAACGATGTTGCCTCTATCAATGCGCACCCCTGAGTCAAAAGCTCCAATTAATACATTCAAATTCCATCATTAAAGAATAACTAAGGAGTAGTTATGAACGGGTTTGAAAAAAAAGTGGGAAAGGCTTTATCAATTATCATAATGTCTTCTGGAAGGCGAACAAGTAATTTTATATTTTTAAAAAATATAAATAAAAGTGTAGTACTTCATCATTAAAGAATAATTAAGGAGTAGTACTTTTGTTAAGAAAACAATAATTAGGCAGTATAACAACAATATTATTTGGTGTGTTTGTATTTATTCTCATGACATGGCATGGCTAATGAGTCGAGTCCAATGAGTTGAAGCTCATTTTGTGTGCACTACAAGAATAATCATTTTTAGTGACGATAATTTTTGTCGTTATGTCGTCACAAAAAATACCGTCACAATAAGAGGTATTATTGTGACGATATTCGAACATATAGCGACAATATCAGGACATTATTAGCGACGGTATTTTTTCTGACGACATAGCGACAAAAATTATCGTCACTAAAAATGATTATTCTTGTAGTGGTGGTTCTCTCTTCAAAATAAATTTTTCTGAAAATTTATATATTTAAAAAAAAAAACACCAAGACTAACTAGTACGGTGGCATGTAGGGGTGGTATCGGTTCGGTTACCGAACCAATAAGACCAAACTGATTATTTTGGTACCTACAAATATGAAACCGTTCGGTTCGGTAACGGTTTTCTACCGAAAAAACCGAAATTTACCAATAATAAATGAGAGGGGCGATTTTTTTTTTTTTTTTTAAATGGGTGAGATGAGCATTCATGAAATTAATACTCATCAAATTTTGATTATTGTACTTATGCAGTGATTAATAGAAATATACAAACCATAAAATTAATCCACAGATACGCAAAGTGGTAGAGCATATTACGACTTTTGCTGAGGGAAATTTGTCCGCGAACAGGGTAGCCAATATCCAAAATAAATGTCGGCAATTGTTGAATTTCCTGAATATTGCTTATGACGGTTTTCAAGTCCTGAATATTGCTTAGTAATTATATACAAAAGTTGCTTACTTTGTTATGCATTCACAAGCTATATAACATAAGTTAATCACTTCTAACTACAAGAATAATCATTATTAGTGACACTAATTTTAGTGACGACAATAATGTCATGACTATAAAATGATTATTGTGACGACATTCGAACATATAGCGACAGTATTTTTTGTGACGACATTTGAACATATAGGGACAAAAATTTTCGCCACTAAAAATAATTATTCTTGTAGTATATAATTGATATCCTGAATATATAAACATATGTATAATTCAATCATATAATTGATTGTTTACTTAATGTGGTTGTTGCAAAATAGATGGAAAACCATTGCGCACAGTTTATAAAATATAAGTTACCAACTTATTAATTGATGCACAGTTCATAAAATATAAGTTACCAACTTAATTGATGCAAAATTTAACGTTTTATTCCAATACCACCCACGCATATCTAACAAATTTATAAATAATACTAAATTACTATTTTATATTCGATTGGAAAATGTTTAATATTCAATATTTAATATTCAACACTAATATACTAATTTTAATGTCTATTTGTCATTTTAGTTCATTTTTTTTCTTATATCAGTTTCAAAAAATATTTTGAAAATATCATATTATTTGAAACTATTATCCATCTTAAAAATATTTTTTAAAATATCATAATAATTTGAATTTATTATCCATATTTTCATAATAAAAGGCAATATAAAAAATTGAAAAAAAAAAAAAACAAGATAGTCGTCACAGTTTTCTATTCTTGACCATCGCCTCCCAAAATCCTACGTCACTCCAAGACACCCATTATTTATTTATTTATTTATTCATGTGTAATTAATTACTAATATTTATTACCACCCTTGACCCTACAACCGATCATTTCTATGTTACAATAACATTATTACGAACTCATGTAAACTCATCACCATTACAATTATTATTATTATTATTATTATTCACTTGTGGCTAAAGGTGTAAATTAACGAGTTGACCTGAATTCATGCTCCCGATACTTGAGTTTGGGTTCAAGCCTTTATTAAGCCGGGCTAACAAAATAAGCCGATAAATAAGCTCGAACTTGACTCACTTATCATTAATAAGGAGTCTTAATGAGTTGAATTCAAATATTGACGAGTGAACTATAAAATTACATAAAAAATCATACTTTCCAAACTTAACAAGCTTTAATAGTCGAGCTCAGTTCAACTAATTAACTAAACGAGTTTTGAGAGAACCGAGCCATGGTCGACCTTAACTAATTGAGCCCACGGCCCACGAGCATCTAGTTTAATTTGTCCAACAGTTTGTGCCAAATAAGAACCTTTGTCACATTGGAAAAAATGCCTTACTGCAATTTTTTTTCCGATGAGATGAGATTCTAATATAAGCCCTGCATGTCCTCCTCATTTCCTTCTCATCCAGGGGAAAAAAATTCCTGCTCTGCATGAGTAGACAACAAGTCTCTTAAATTTCATCTATTTACTTTTATTTAATGCATTACTTGAAATATTTAAAAAGAAAATAAAGCAAAAATTAAATGGTATGGGTCTCTACTGTACTCCATCTCCCATCTTTCTCCCACTCTATATTTAATTCCACTTTCCTTTTCATCTCAAATTTTGCAGGCGATTCTTGTTGTGGGTTTTGTCTTTTTTTTTTTCCCCCTCTTCCTATTGCTTTCCTATTTCCCTTTTATTTTATCTTTCATCATTCTAATATTAATAATAATAAGCTAGCTAGCTACGGCTACTGCTTATTTAATTAATTGATTTATATAAAATAAAATAAATTTACCGTAGTTGGTGACGTCGTGCAAGAGTATGCTATAAAGAGGAGGTGTGCGTTGCTATTCGCTACTGAGAAAACACAAACTATTAAGAGCCTTTTGGTTTAAGTGCTGAATAAATTAAAAGCATCCTTGAATTTTTTTCTTTTTTTTTTATTTTTTGTTTTTGACAGATTGAATTTAAACAATCATCCATCATTTCATCATGGGCTCATCAAACAGGCACTGGCCAAGCATGTTCAAGTCCAAGCCTTGCAACTCAACTCTTAATCAACAGCACCAATATCTAAACCCTTCTCTAATCTCATACTCACCTGCAACAGGTACACCAAAAATTGAACCATTTTTAGTGATTTCTTTTTTCCTCATTTTTCCTTCGTTTTTTTTTTTCATACGAAAAAAAAATATATAAAAACATAATAATTAATTAGGGCCCGGATGTGAAGGCCGCACTCCAGAACCGAAGCCAAGATGGAACCCTAGACCCGAACAAATCCGGATACTTGAATCCATCTTCAACTCGGGCCTGGTCAACCCGCCGAGGGACGAGATACGAAAAATTAGGGCTCAATTGCAGGAGTACGGAGCAGTAGGAGATGCCAATGTCTTTTATTGGTTCCAAAACCGAAAGTCCCGGAGCAAGCACAAGCAGCGCCACCTCCAAACCGCCGCCTCCGCCGGAAAACACCACCAGCCGCCGCCGCCGCCGCCGCCGATCTCCGCCACCCCCTACTCGCCGCCGTCCTCCTCCGGCAAGTCGTCGTCGTTGTCCCCCAACAGCCCCCCCGGCGTGATCGACTGCCTGAACTCGCCCACGGCCTCTGTGAACCAGCGGGCCTTTGCTCCGGGCCCGACGGAGTTTCAGCTGGAGGAGCCCTTTTTCTACCAGATCCAGCAGGATTCGCCGGTGGTGGGTGGTTTGGGGCAAGGGTTCTGCTTTTCCGGCGGTGTCTCCGGCGGCGGAAGTGTCTCCGGCGGGGGGGCGGATCAGGGCTTCTTGCTGAGTGAGCTGATGCTGATGAGCGGCTGCCCCTCCAAGATTTTGGAGGACGATGACGGCGGCCATGAGAAGATGAAGTTTGAGGAGCAGCTAGATTACGGTGGGCTTGCTGTACCTGATACTGGCCATTATTTTCTTCCTCAGTCTTTCTACTCTCAANTTTTCCATTAGAAACTAATTTGCTAAACTAAATAATGGAAAATAAATAATTAATTTGTTTTGTACATTTCCTAGAATCTTTGTTTGTATGATATTAATAATGTACATTTACATTTTTGTTTTAAAAAAATAGATTGAACCAACCCGACTAATAGTAAAACCGACCCGCACTCAGAAATTGTTAATGCAGTAAGTCAGTTTTGTTATGAAGCCAACAGTTGGCTCCATAGTGGAGCCAGCCTTCTATAAACAACAAGTAAACCATAATATATTAATAAAATTATTAATATTTATTTAAGTAATCATAAAATATGATATGGTTTACTTATTGTATATAGAAGGTTGACTCTATTATACAGCCAATTATTGATTTCATAGCAAAACTGTGCGGTAAGTACATGTTTGGGTTATCCGATGGGGCATAATAATGCATAATAGATAATTAAATAGCATATTTTTACTCAATTCTTAGAAGACGATCAGATTCAGGCATTTTGTTTTTTTAATTAATAAAAAAAAAAAGAAGATTAATCGTATTCATATTAATGTTCGTTCCATATTTCCGCATGACCAAGCATGTCATTCAAGATGTAACCGTGTGACTGATAATTTCCCAGTCACACTTTCTTTTTCATTTATTTATTTTGGTTATTTGATACGCTGTGGTTAGACATTAATTTGCATATGTTGTCATCTACAAAAGGGAAAAGGACATAAGTGGATGGATTTGTTCTTTGTCCCTCACAACGTCTGCATGGATTTCCTAGCTAGTTTGTATTTCTCAAATTTTATTTATTTATTTATTTTATGTATTTCCCAACCTGTTGGGAATATATTGAGTATGTTGTTGTTGTTGTTGTATTTATTTTATATATATATGACCATTTTGATATACGAGATGTGTGGTTTAGGTGTGGTGGGCCCCACAAAATCCACGGTGTTCGTAAATGATGTGTTCTTCGAGGTGGGTGTGGGACCCTTCAACGTGAGGGAGGCGTTTGGTGATGATGCGGTGCTTATACAGTCGTCCGGTCAACCGGTGTTGACCGACGAGTGGGGAATAACTCTCTACCCGCTTCAGCACGGTGCCTTTTACTATCTCATCCGAACCACCATGCCTTCTTCGCCTCGCGAGCTGATCACGACCATTGACTTGGTAAAACTCGNTTTTAACTTTCCGACCGCTATTTGCTTATTCAGGATGACTCGATGAGTCTATTAATTTGTTGCTCAAATTGGTTGAATTAATGAATAATTGTTATTTGATTATGTATATTGACTAATTCAAATTGTGTGTTTTTCAGATTTAGATGGATTTGAGAAGATTGAAACTCGGTGTGGTGGAGATGAATATTGAATACTATGTAATTTTATAATATAGTTTTGTTGAACTAATTAGTTTGTGTTTATGCTTGTGATGGCATGTTACAATTAATGGATGTTGTGAACAAAATCTCTACTTTAATTATATCTTTAAGCTTAGAGCCTTTTAAATTATTGTTGGTCTGATGATGGACGTGATGTTTCATGTGGTTATTAATTACTATGAACATTAATGATGTGGAACAAAGGTTGTGTGTACTTAATTTAAAATTCTAATTTATTTTATAGGAGGAACAAAATATTTTCTGTACTTTGCTTCAGTTCATAACTTGTAATTAACTCTTAATTGACACCTCATAAATATTAATTTTCTGTACTTTACAGACGTATCATAAATATATATTCTTCTTCAAGAATATATATTTATAAGTGCATGCACAACTACATCAAGGCAACTGTAGAAAAGATGCATGCAGTGTGTTGTCATTCGAAATTAAAAAAGAATCTAAGTTATATGCGATCAGGATTTCTTGCTGCAGACAAATATTTTCTATTTACCTCATCTTATATATGTAGCTATATATGTAGGCCCATTAATCAAGCACACCAGTAGTGCATGATGAATTTGGCACATTATAAGATTTCTCAATAATCAAATATTTGTGAAGCGAATAATCATACATTTTAATTTCCCTAATGCTTATCAAATGCGTGCACAAAATTAAATTTGTAATAATAAATTAATGAAAGGATAAATATATACTAAAAGCTTTTAATGTCAGTTGTTGACGGGTCAACTGGGAGTTTGAGTGACGCAGAATGATTACGTGCAAAATGATCATCCAACAGTATTATTTGCACACACGAACACACAACATAATATTTGTCTTGACTCAATGGTTATACAGTACAGTTCAGTGTAATTTCTGAATAAAAATATCTATTTATAGGTAAAAATATTATATTTTTATTAGTCATTGTTTTAATTATGGCATTTTAATATAAACATATAAATTTTATAGAACCAACCATTCGTAAACCGATGAATTAATACATATCCAAGTATGTTTATTTTAAGTCGTTCATTAATACACTACAAAAAATAATGAAATTCAAACGTAAATATATTTCAAATGAACTCCAACGGCAATTTCAATAGAAATTTCAGTGCAATTATTACCATTAGATTTTTCCAATGGAATTCAAAATATTTTGTTGGGATGAGTTTTTCATTGAAATTCCGGTTGAAGTTTGGTGATTCCAACATCAGGTTTTGCAACGATTGAAATATGGGTGGGAACACAAAAGTGAATAGAAATTCTTACGGTAATCAACCATTAAAAAAAAAGTAATTAGAAACATCATATCAAATTCTTACTAAAATTTCAGTAGAAAACTCATTTTAACGGTATGTTTTCGTTGAAATATCTGTTTGAATTCCATTAGAATATATTACAGTGAAATTTTTCATTAAAATATGACATTTTTTTTGTAGTGATACATTTATATATAAATTTGGATGACCCAATACACTATAGCATCTTATTGCTCCATACCAAAACAGTATAAAAATATAAAACATTGTTAAAAAAGTATACATAGCAATGTGTCGAAGGGTAATTCAATCCTAACAATGTCTATAAAAGTATAAGTCCCAACAATGTTAATACTAACATCTTTTGAAAAAATATAGATCCTAACAATGTCTAATTCGATTCCATTGTTGGGAGCACTGGCCAAATGGGTTTAGTCTATCTGATTAGGAGAAATTGGATAAATATTTGTAATCCAACATGATTAAATCCAATGCGGGCAGTAGGCTTAAATTCGCCTCTAACAGTTAACTTGCATAACATAACGTCATATGCAGCTATTGTATGATTTGAGTTGTGATTGATTGAGAGGGTTGAGTGATCTAACATCAATTTGAACTGAAAAAAATTCCTTGTCTCTACTAACTTCTACGTCATAGAGCAGTACTTTATTTAGACTTCTTCAGACTCAGTCAATAAGTTTACGAAACATCACATTGATAGTAAAATGTAAACTAAAAATCATCATCATCATCATCATCACCTACCCAAGCTCACATAAGCATATATGCAGAGTACGATTTTCTTGAGGGTTTTAATTGGTGCGTACATTAAAAAAAGTACTGCATGTCTGTCTGAATGCTGTGGAGTTATGGGCCGAGAGGTCCATTTTTTTTCCTCTTTGGATACAAGGTGAGACAAAAGTCAAACCAAATTCCCCATGTTGGATGATTCATTAGTGCCAATGGGACA